ATGTGTGTGTGTATATATATATATACACACTATATGTATGTATGTATATATATATATAACTTTATAATATCTTGCATAATATATTGTAATTATATACTCTTATGTATAGGGGATGTATATTAGCTTGCAGGATGGGTGTGGGTCTGCTACCACTGCTCAGTTGAGAAGCAGTAATTCCCCAGACCTCATTTTATTTAGGAGTTTGTTATATTTACCTCTGCTCTCTTCCCCTCCAAAAAAGAGGAAGAGCACTCTTCACTCAGCAGAGGTGCAAGTAGCAAGGTTCTTGGTGTTGAGGTGGTGCTCGCCGCCAGGAAATGGGCGGATATACAGAGAAAAACACAAAAAGGGAAGCAACAACGAATTCTGGAGAAAGCTGCAAATGGTGAAGCATAGGAGGAACGTGAGGTCTGTCAAAACAAACTGCCAAAGCCTTCTGAGCAAGAGTATTTCATGCTATTAGGACAAGCAGCAAATAAGTGCTCAGATGCCCCGTGGCTCTTTGCTGGCATCGTTGCATCTGCAGAGGTTTGGGTAGGTGCAAGACAGGGGTATCTGCACCTTTCCTGTCCAGAAACTGTAAATGGAAGTGTATTGGGGAATTATGAAGTATTTGAACTAAAAATTGTGTCTAGTGCTGGCCGTGTAAAGGCCTGTGCTGTCATGTACAGGGGCAAAAATAACCGTGCCTTCCTTTGCAGGTTATCCTGGAGCTTGCTGTACACCGTGTACATTTCCATAACAGCAAGTCTGCTGACGCTGATCACGACCAGAGCAGTCACCCACGACTACAGCTTTTTCGAAATATATTTCTTTTATTTCTTTTATGGCATAGCATCTGTAAGTCTGCTTTTGTGTTCTTAAACGATGCACAGTTTTTTCCCCATTTCCCAGTCAAAACACCTAAAGCTCAAAGACTACAGAGTACTCTAGGGCTGGGTATTATGTGAGAAAAGAAGAAAAACTTCATTACCAGAGTTTGTTGTTATAATTGGTAAGCTTATATATCATTCTTATTACATTTTGGGAGATTCTGACTTGAAATCAAAGTAAAGAGAGGTGCTAACAGCAGCATTAATGTGGTCCTGGGGCTGGGGCTGCCTTCTTGGGAGGCATCCTGCTAATTACAGGTTTTCTCTGCTGCAGATCCACTTCTGTTTCATGCTCAGCTCGTTGCTAAAGCAGCCAAATATTGCCAGTTTTGTGGGATTTGTCGTTCACGTCATCTTCGGATTGCTGGGTTTTTTTACAATGTTTGAAAATCTACCGCCGTCTTCAGAATGCATTTTTAATCTCTTCAGCCCTTTTGCCCTCACAGCTGGCATCTCAAAGGTATGTTCAAAATCATAAAAGCCAGCAAATCATAAAAGTTCAGCCCACAGCAAACACGCTTCAGGCTTCGACCAGAGAACAGGAGGTGCTTTACATAATTTGCATTGCTATAATGACCCAGTCGTGTCCCTCTGCTCTAGATGCTTTGTAAAAAGAGAAGTTGACTCCAAAAAGTACACGCTGATTGACAAGAAATATAGTTAGACTCAGAACTGCATCATTAAATTGTATGAGCTCTGTATATAGAGTAAATTTTGATCTCTGGAAAATTATCACATGTCTGGTGGGTACCGTGGTCTGCCAAGAACAGCGAGGTCTTAAAGTGCTGCCCCAGCAAATACCATGTGCATCACCCTTCTGGTGTAGTAACTTCTCCACAATTTAGAATTCAGCTTACGGAAGCATTTCTGATACTTGTTGTCATAATAAAGAGTTGCCCTGCTTGGAAACCGTGTCATGGTCACGAGTGGACACGGGTTTCTGGTGAAAATGGTCCTGATGACACAGCAGTGGCTTGCGGGTTGTATTTCTGGCTAAAGGAAGTGTTGCATCTGACTTGTGCCTTTTTCTCTCGTAGATGATAAAATTAGAAAAATATGGACCGGCCTTCACACCGGAATTGTACCCTTTCTTTAAGCTCTACCTCATACTGACCCTTGACAGTGTCTTGTATTTACTGTTGGCCATCTACTTCGATAAGGTTTTGCCTGGTAAGTAGAAATGTGAGGGAAAGACTACAAATTTCCTTGCATTTTTCTTCTATAATTCCCTTCCCTCATAGTGAGGAAGGTGCCAAGAAGGGATGGGATAGAGCTGAGGGAGCTGTCATCTATGTGAAGCAACAAAAAAGGTGTCCTGGTAGTGAGCTGGTCAGGCTGTGGAATGGCATCCCAACAGCAATGAGCCATGCCGTGTGTTATGAGGGGCTGAAAACTGCATTTTCTGGGTTGCTGGGAAAAAAATGGTTGGGAAGAATACTGTTTTCACAGAAGCCTGGTGCATGTAGCGACCTTATTTGGCCCTGCCTCAAAAACAGGCTCCAAAGGGAACATGAAATCTGGCAGCGAGGCACTAAGATCCTTTATATCTGCTCCAGCAGTCCTAAGCACTGGGTTTAAAAGGATCTTGGAGGACTTGACCTGATTTTCCTATAACTTCTGGGCCAAAGAGGTGGTCAATGAGGTCTTTGTTGTAATTGTTCCCCACTTGTATTTACAGATACAGATGCATAGGTAACTTTGCCAAACTTACCAACTCTTCCATGCTTCCTCTGCAGCTGTAGAGGAAGAGACAGCTGGACATGGCATTTATTGAAGCTGAGTTGACAGATCACAGCTTTTGGTTGATATTTCACCTTCTTTCTTTCTGAATTAGGCAAGTACGGAGCCCCATATCCACCTACATTCTTCCTGAGGCCATCATACTGGTTCAAGCCCAGGAGCGGGTACGTGGGGGTGCGAGCGGGCAGCGAGAGCAGCCACGATCCTCCCTTTAGCAATAACATCGAGCCAATGCCTCCGGGCTTTGATGGGAAGGAAGCAATCAGGTAAAGACTCTTGTAGGCATGACAAATATAATGCTACACGTTACTCCAGAGAGCACAGCTGTATTGCATTGGTGAATGTTAGACTGAGCCACCTACCATATGCAGATAAAGTTAGTGGCAAACAGGCGATGGGGAGGGTTTGTTCAGTGTTTGATTTTGCTCCAGAACTGGGTTTGAACACTTATTGGACTTGGTTGCATCTTCTGTGACAGGAACCGACTTGCTGTATAAAATAATGTTATTTACATCCTTATGGGGCTGGTTTGGTCCATTGCTGCTGCTGCCCGTTGCTTATTATTAAATGTAAATCTGCTAAAATAATAGTGAGATCATTGCTTTTAATTAGGTAACCACATGTTTTCTCATTCCCTAGGGCCTCCTACTTCATCCACTGCATGTTCACTGAGTTTGACTTTGAAAGTTTTTCTATGTCTTTTAGAAAAATACACTAAAAGAAACACTATAAAATACATTAAGAGAAACAAATTCTAGACAGCAGTTCCTTCAGATGGAATTACCTTCACCCCCGATGGTAGGGAGCAGGACCAGTTTGAGGAGGAGGTTGAGGAATATTCTTCCAATAGTTTGCAAAGGTTACTTCAAGGAAACATGCCAAAATGGTGAGATTAAATAGTAATGACTCTCTTACCTTTCCTTTAGACTAAACAGTATTAAAAAAACATACCAGAAGAAGGGCAAGAGAACCGAAGCTTTAAGAGGTAAGAGAGGTTTTGGAGTGCTTTTAATTTCTTTTTTTTTCACTAGATATGAACCCAGACTGTTTTGAAATGTACTGGATGTTCTTCATTCTGCCTCCAGCACTGTTAAAACGCATTACACATTACTCAATGGTTATTTCTGCTGAGGTAAATTACTGGCAAATTTCTACCGGGTTGTTATTTTCCTGTTCACTCCAGGCAAATTGCTATTTATTATTTTTCACAACAGCAGAATTCTTAAAAGCTGTGGAATTTGCTGCCATGAAGCACTCTGAAAATCCCCTCTCAAACTTCCCTTTCAAAATGTAAACTATTCTGGGCAAACAAAACTTGGGGTGTTTTTGATTTGTGGCTGAACAGTGCTCTCCAAGCACTTACACATTTGCCAACCGCAGATATGCAAGTAGCTGGCATAGTCAAAGCACAGTTGTGGGATATTTGTTACATGCCTTTATTTAACAAGAACTCCAAGTGAAAAAATCAGTATTTTTATACTGAGTAAAGAAAACACAACCCAAACAACCCACAAAAATACAAAATAAGTCTGTCTTTCTTTTTTTTTAAAGGAATTGGGGTAGCAAAGTCTGGATGCTTTGAAATAACTCCTGAAATCCCACGCGTTGGAAAGGTTATGGACTCTTCTCTTTCTGTGAGCTCTCTCTTGAGCCATGCTAAAATCAAAGGTTATCAATCTCATAGAAAACAGACGGGAAAATTCTTTAAATATTGAAGTTAATCTATTTGTTCCCTCAATCAATCAGGACACGACTGCAAGTTCCTTACTAAGTTTAGTCCTAACTTCTGAAGGTGAAACCCATGGTTTTGGATGTGTATTTTTGCCTCTTAGCTTCAAAAGAAATGTCAACCCCTCTGTTATACTTGCAGCAAGCTACACATACAGGTCTATTTTTCATGAACTTCCATCCTAATGCTATCCTGTTTCTCTTCTAGGTTTGTCCTTAAACATATACGAAGGTCAGATCACGGCATTACTTGGTCACAGCGGATCTGGAAAAAGTGCTCTGTTAAATGTGCTCAGTGGATTTTCCAAGCCTTCAGCAGGTAAGATGATGGACCTGGATGCTGAAGAGGAGAAACTGTTTGGTTTTTTTCAAGCGTGAAGGGGTAAAGATGCAAAAACCCAGGTTTTCTCTCAGTCGTTCAGCCTTGCTCGCTATCAGCACAGATCGCTCCTTCAGCATGAGCATCAGGGCTGACGCATCCTTCATGGATGTGCTCATCTGTGCAAGCATACACGGATGGTTACTGCTCCATCTGGATGGCCTGATGTTTTCCATGAGCTGCATACAGAGATTTGGCGCTCTGAAAACTTTTTGAATGGTATTTTTGGACGACAGAAAGATATTTTGCCTTTATTTTCTTTCTTTTTTTTAAATACTTTCCTGCCTGCAGGTTCCGCAATGATATACAACTACAAAGTGTCTGAAGTACAGGATATGGAAGGAATTCAAGCAATGGTTGGGGTTTGCCCCCAGTTTAATTTGCATTTTGAAGCCTTAACGGTGAAGGAAAACCTGAGAATTTTTGCTCACATCAAGGGGATTCAGGGGAATGAAGTAGAGCAAGAGGTTGGTATGTGCTCGTAGGTCACTGACCTCTGTTTTACAGCATCTTGGACACTTTGAGCTTTCTTTGTAAAAAATTACCACATGCATCTTGTTCTGTGGAAATGAAAACAACCTTAATTTAGGGGAGAAGTGTTTTACTCAATTGTTTCGTATCATCATGTCATAAGAGTTCGAATTCAGATTTACAGTACTTACCTCTAAGCAAATCCATTTAAAGTAGATAATTTTAAAACCTTGAAGTTTTGCTTTCCCGTACTGTGTGTAGCCGTGTACGAATTAAAATGCAACCAGTGCTTTTGAAATCTGGCTTTTGTTTTTGTGTATTACCAAGGTGCAGAAAGTTCTCCAGATGTTGGACCTCACCGACCCTCAGGACATCCATGCTGATAATCTGAGTGGGGGACAAAAAAGGAAATTGTCTCTTGGAATTGCAATTTTAGGCAATCCCCAGGTAGGGACCGGTCATATTTACACAATACAACTACAGTTTTTGAATGGAGCTTCCCATTTTGACTTGGCACACAGATATTTGTACTTTTTCCCTGGCATGTCAAGTCTTCTCACCTACTAGTTCAATTGGCTGCTGGAAGGATTGAGGAATTTGGGTCAATGAGAGCTGTGTTTTAAATGAAAAGGGTAATAAAGGAAAAAGATAATAAATGAAAAGAGCCATAAAAATAGCTGGTAATTGAGGATGCATTTTATTCTCAGATCAAGATCATCAAAAGCATGACATGAAATGACACAAACATGGAAACGCCAGCTTGGACGGGTGGAGGTCTGACCTTGTTCACGTTTGCAGGTGTTGCTTTTGGATGAGCCGACAGCGGGGTTGGATCCCTGCTCCAGGCACCACGTGTGGAGCCTCCTGAAGGAGCGCCAGGCTGGACGCGTGACCCTCTTCACCACCCAGTCCATGGAGGAGGCCGATGCCCATGCTGGTGAGCCCAGGTTTTCACCCTGTGATTGACCTACAGTTTGAAAACAAGGGTTTCCCATTGCAGAGCCCATGTGTGGATCCTGCCACGGTGCAGTTTGTGCTTGCTGGACACATTTTGTCTGATAGCGACCACCCAACCTGGGCTGAGCAAAGGCCAGAACTGGACTTGCTTGAAAGAGTCCAGCAGGGCCACAAAGATGATGGAGCAACTCCCTTATGAGGAGCGACTCAGGGAGCTGGGGCTCTTGAGCTTGGAGCAGAGGAGACTGAGGGGTGCCCTCTTTCATGAGGATCAATTTGGAAAGGGTGAGTGTCAGAAGGAAGGAGCCAAGCTCTGCTCTGGGATGTCCAATGCCAGGACAAGGGGCAATGGTCCCAAGCTGGAGCACAGGAGGTTCAAGCTGAAGATGAGGACAAACTTTTTTACTGTAAGGGTTACAGAACACTGAACCAGGCTGCCCAGAGAGGTTATGGAGTCTCCTTCTCTGGAGACACCCAAAGCCCTGGCCGTGTTCCTGTGTGACTGCTCTGGTGATCCTGCTCTGGCAGGGGTTGGACTGGATGATCTTTCAAGGTCCCTTCCAACTCCTCATATTCTGTGATTCTGTGACTGACCTGGCCCTCCAAGACCTTGCTTGTGCTCTGCTTGGGGGTTGAAGCAGTTGTGTATTAGCTGGATGTACCACTAGCAGCACCCACACAAATTAATGATAGTGTTTGAATTAATATGTTTCCTATTTCCTATTTCCTTGCTGCTCCTGGGCTGCATGGCAAATTTTCCACGAGCCTGTAAGAATACATAAGTAAAAGATTAACCTTGGTGCTTAGGAGAAAGGCAGCCGTTCATAAAGGAAAAAACCCTACGTCACTGGCCTGGTTTTACTCCTCTTGACTTCATTACAAAAATGTCTGTTGAGTTCAGAAGGAGCAGAGGGAGGTCAGGCTACTGCTCTGTTGTAAATCCCCCCTAAATCCTTTGTGTTTGTACCTCCTTAGATCGCAAAGCTTTTCTCTCAAATGGGAGATTACAGTGTGTTGGCTCATCTCTGTACTTGAAGAGAAAATGGGGAACTGGCTATCACTTAAGGTAAATCCTTTTCTTCTTGGCCATCACTCTTTTTATTAAAAGCTTCTAGTTGGTGTGAGTGTTTGTTGTAGAGTCTGTGTCTCTATAGAGTTTCTATATAGAGTAATAGAAATCTTGACAATTCATTTTAGAAGACGTTTAAGGCTGCCAAAACCCTTTTACTTTGGACAGCAAGCTGTTTTTCTTTGGAATCCAATTCTGAAAGCTCTGAGCCATGTAGCTAAAATGACTTTGCAACCTCTTTCGCAGCCAAAAGGGGACCAGAGCAAGATGAATTGCAATTTCCACGTGCTCTGGTGCCAGAGTGACGTACAACAGCTTTAATGTAAAGTTGTTTTTCTTTGGATTTTAATTTCTGAGTTCTTGGTTTAGCGGCATTGGCCAGAATCACTATTCTTAACCTCAACTATTTCTCACGTGCATGGCAAAACCAGGGGCACTGCAGACATCTGTCCAAATTCCCACTGAAATGCTGCCCAGTTTTGGAGGTTTCCTTATGGCTTGAAGAACGACCGCTGGCTTTGTATTTTAAATAGATGATGCATGCATTTTTTTAAAAAATATTCTCATTTAATATTATAGCAATTGCTTTTTAATGCGAACAGGATGCAAATAAATGAGCTGTGTGACCCTGAGCTCACATCATCCCTGGTCAGACAGTACGTCCCTGGTGCCGTGCTAGAAGGACAGAAGGGAGGCGAGCTGAGCTATGTCCTACCTCTGGAAAACACCGACAGCTTCCCAGGTCAGAAAAACCTCTTGTTGAGCCAGGGTTGTAAAGAGAAATCAAGTGGTGGGAAAAGTGGAAAGCAAAGTTGCTGTGAAGGGAATAAATATATTCCCTTCTCCATAATGCATGAGACCAGGAAGCCCGGAGCTGCATAAACATCAGCCTTAGAGAAAGCCCCTGATGGCCGTGCCAATATCAATACTGCAGATGAACAAAAGATAAACCACCAAGTAATCTATAAACTAAAATCCACCGAGTCTCCTCTGGGTTCAGGATGAGATTTCTCCCACTAGGAAGGCCCATGGTAATCAAGAAATTTTCTGCTTACCTGTAAAGAGCATAATAATTTTATTGTGGCTTTTAAGTTACGGAAATTAATGATGTAAAAGCTAGAAAGTACAAGGCTAATCATGCTCATCTGAATTTCTGCTCAACACTTGGTCACTGCCCTGGTCACTGGGCTGAATCTGACTGTTTCTGTGGTGCAGATCTGTTCAGCCACCTCGAGAGCAGCCTTCTGCAGGGGGTCATTAATTACGAGATTAGCAGAACAACCCTGGAAGATGTTTTCCTGAAGCTGCAGGGCGAGGAAGCCATTGGTCAAGAAGGTAAAACATCGACTCCAATCTGCAAGTGTGCCGCAATTAAGTTCCATATATACGTATGTTTTAATTGAATATCTAATGAGTTTCTGTTAAATGTGAATCTTAGTAGGTTTTGGTAGGTCTAGAGTTGTAGTTGTATTCAGCTTTCCTCTAGTGAAGGTTATCTTCTTGAAGAAGTCTAGCTGATTCAGTCTTGACTTCCCATAGGCTTTTAAGCACACAAATTAAAATTGATGTTGTAAGGGTATTTGCTTTTGAAGTATCCTGCCCAGACCAGGAGGTGGGAAGAGATAAACTATGCAGAAGGCATTTCACAAGGCCAGTGGCAATATTGCACATCTTGCCACTTGAGGCCAGGTTCAGCCAGTCTGAATTCACCAATGGAAATTATGTTTTGGGTAAACTATGGCCCATTTCCTCCGTCCTTATTTCTTTCCTGGCTAAAAATGAAAGAAATCCTCTATTCAGAAGAGAAGATCCTTGTTGATTGTTGACACCTAAACCTGTCCTTTGAATGCTTTTTGTGGATAACGATGTTTCTCGTGGTGAACACACAGAAGACGGAGACCTCACAGAGAAGGACCAAAACCTCCTGGCATTTTCGGAGCAGGGGACTGCAGCAGTGAGCGGGATGGCTCTCTGGAGGCAGCAAGTGTGTGCCATGACGAGGGTTCGCTTCCTAAAACTCAAGCATGAAGGAAAGGTTCTCAGGTCCATGTAAGTGCAGGAGCTCTCACCTCGTCTGCAGCCCTCGTGCTGGCTTGATGCTCGCCAAAGGATTTGTTCTTTCCCTTGAGTGAGGGCAGGAAGGCTTAAATGCTAGTGGAGGTGTTTGGAAGCCAAGAATTAGGTGGGAAATGTTTAAAAGCTGCAGTAATAAGTTAGAATTTACTGGTAGAGCTGTGAGTTGCTCAAGTTTTAAATTTCCTCTTGCCTTTCTCAACTGAAATCACACAATTAGTTAAAGGCGGAGTTCCCCTGGACCCACTTATGGTCTGTTTTTCCATCTAGATTGCTGTTCTTTGGAATATTTATCCTTCCAATGCTGATAGCTTTCATTGTACTTCGACTGTGGGATGTCTCCAGCAACTGGGAAATCACGTCTAGCTCATATTTTCTTCCCACTAAAGAGAAAACTCAAAATAAGTCGACCAATCTTCTCATCTTCAATGATACAGGTGAAGAAGAACATGTGATGTTGATCTGAGTCCTCTTAGAGTTGATAGACCAACCTTGCCTTACTCTTTCTGTACGTTCCTTTATGTATTTGTGGCTTTGGGAAGTGTTTTGAGCAAAAGCAAATCCAATTTCAGTGATGATAAATGAGTAGCTGATATTTAAAAGAGTAATGAAGCTGAAAAATTAAAAAAAAGACAAAAATACAAAAAAAACCCCAGCAAGAAACATGTTGAAACATACGTTGGGTTTAACCAGTTTAATTAAAATAGAAAAAAAATAGAGACAATATTCGTTTTCTTGGATACTAGATTATTTTTTAACATAACTCTGCAAGGGGGAACTTGTCTATAAGAAACTTTCTATTTAAAAAAAGATAACCCATAATTATTCTAATTTCTGTTCTTTGCTTGTTTTCAGGATCAGAAATTGAAGATTTCATTGCTGCTTTGAAGACTCAAAACATAATCCCAGAAATAACTCTTGAGAAAAACATCACAAGCATCCCAATGCATAATGGAGCTATAAAAATATCCCTGGAAGGCAAGGTAAGGGGTAGTTTTTTCTTCTTTCATCCTGCATGTCAACAGGATTTTCTAAAAAGCGTTTAACTGAGGCACAACGAAATACACACACCAGCAAAAGGGAGAATAATTTACGTATTAAATATTATCAGTAATATTTTGTTTGTGGTAAAAAATATTATGAAAATGTTATTTAAAATCTATTTAAAAATTCTGTATTTTCTCTTTGTGAGAAACCAGGATTATATTTGTTTCTTTCCACTGTATGCTTTTCTGGAGTGTTTTTTTCTGAAAAGCATTAAAGCAAGTCTTTTGGGCTTTTTGTCCAGACATTATTGTCTTTATCAATGATTCTGCTTGCGTCACCAGTTTAAACATGTCCAGGTCCCCGCGATCCCACCATAAAACTGCCCAATTGCCTTTGTCATTGCTTTGTCACCCCTCTTGGTCATGAAGGTCACGTCCTTTGCTCTTACATCTCCAGAGCTACCGCTACACCGTCATGTGCAGCGCAGAGCCCATCAACTGCTTCCCCGTGCTGGTGAACATCCTCAGCAACACCTTCCTGAGGCTCTTCAATTCCACCGCACGTTTCCGCGTCTGGAGTGTGCCCTTTTACAGCGTGAGTTTCTTGCCTTTCATGGGGAAAATTCATCGAAATAGAATTCAAACCCAATTAATTGGGTTGGAAACGGGGCGGGATGAGCAACCTCCAAGGGTTGGGGTCACTGGTTCAACTGCTGGCCGGGTCTTGGAGGTGTTTTTTAGCAGTCAATGCCAGGGCTATTTAATGAGAATTTCTTCTGCAGTGTTTAATTGCTCTGTAGGGTTTCAGTGCCATAAGACATTTAAACTTGTGCTACGTGCCAGTATGGTACGAATAGAACAGTGATGCTTGCAAGTCCCATCTTGCTTCGGCATGCATTTGGTCATCAGCATCAAAAGATGGTCTCTGTTCTCAGCAATTTACAGCAATGCCAATACTTGTTGCAAATGTTAAGATGCTAAATACTTCCGTTAATTGCTTTGATTTGTGTTCTTAAACACAAATAACTTACCATGAGTGTTACTGCTCACTTGCCTATGAGCGTCGAGCTCAGATTTTTCCCTGGACAGCTGTTAATTACTGACAACTTCTTAATTTTCCTTTCACAGACAGAATACCCAGAAACAAAGAACGAGCTTTTCTTCATCTGCCTCACCTACATGCTGATTCTGGCCGCTGGCTTGCCTCCTCACTTTGCAGTGAGCAGCATGGAGGATTACAAGGTAAAAAGCTTACACCGAAAGCGGTTTTACACAAGAAGTGAATGCAAATGCTATGTCTCTAGATAACAGATCGTGTGCCCATGGGCTGGCTGGCATTTCTAGGTGGGATGCTAGAAGAAATAAAGCCGCATGTGTACAATGTTGTACCGCAGTGTGTTACACTGCATCTCAAGGAATCCAATAGTGACCTTCCAATACCTCACCAAAAACAACCTTCCGATATCTGAAAGGTGCCCATAAGAAGGCTGGGGAAGAGCTGTTCACAAGGGCATGTAGCAATAGAATGAGGGGTGATGGTTTTAAACAAGAAAAGGGTGAAACAAGATTTAGGTTGGATATGAGGAAAAAGTTCTTCACCATGAGGGTGGTAGATCACTGACACAGGTTGCCCAGAGAGGTGGTGGAGGCCCCATCCCTGGAGATATTCAAGGCCAGGCTTGATGGGGCCATGAGCAACCTGATCTGGTACCAATGTCCCTGCTCACTGCAGGGTTGGACTGGATGAGCTGTAAAGGTCTCTTCCAACCCAACACAGTCTATGATTCTTTGAATCAGCTTGGGCTCAGAACAATTCAGGTGTTAATAAAGATTTTGAGGGCAGGATGATTATTTTTTCTTTTTAAGAATGGCACGTTTTTAAACCACAGTAAAACTAAGAATAGGTTGAAAGTGCTTGGAAGGGAGAGGAGGGCTCTACCAGGGAAGGAGGAGCAAGGGTAATGAAGGAGGAGGAGAAGGAGAGGAAGAGGAGGAGGAGAAGGAGAGGAAGAGGAGGAGGAGGAGGAGAGGAAGAGGAGGAGGAGGAGGAGAGGAGG